CCCTAAGGCAGTGCAGGTCTTTGATACCATTATTACTATATAACAGTGCATTCCTTTAAATCATTTGAGAGACAAGAATGCCGTGAATCCTTTGGTACACAACACAGATCTGTAGTTTTTATGAAACAGGATGTTTTTCCATAATCTCACTGCTCACCCGTATGGACCAGAATAGCCCAAGCCTGAAAACTCTCTGACATGCTGAGAGTCCTTTTGAAACAGGTAGTCCAGCCTGAAGGAAAGGGGCCTACAGGTATGCTGATGCCATGGACCATATTTTGCACTGTCACTTTCCTGACTGGCAGTTCACGTGCAAGAATTTGTGAGCTTGTATTACACGCTATCAGTGCTACTTGTAACTGCTGTAAATCACCAAAGAAGGTGCATATAACTTCTATGTCAATAACCCGTTCTACCTTGAGTATGCATTTTCTTTTGCAACTATAAAAACGTGTACATTTTTATTCGACACACTAAATTTTTTGAGAACCTTCAGTTTTCATCCTGCTTAGTAATAATCTAGAATCGTCTACTGTGTAAAGCCAAGGATTCACAGACCCTCAGGAGAACGCTAATGCATAAATGCACATTACAAATTAATCAGAACGAAGAAGAGTGACTAACTGCAAATTAAGGATTAGATAAGTAGTTACTAACAAAGAAACAACCACAAAGCTCAACAAATATTCACTGAATACTAATTCTGTTTTAAACTCTGCTATTTGTAGTGAAACGCAATCTTACCAGACAATCAGCTTTTTACTACGGAACAGTATTTTAAGCTGCACCCTCTACAAATTACCTTGTCTTTTAAACACTCAAACGCATAAAGAAATAACTGCAAAATAGCGAGACATCGCAACAGCAGCTAATTTATTGTATGACTTCACTCATCTCATGATGAATAATTCCCCAGTTAGATTTCCATTTTAAAGTATCTATGGATTTTGTTACTGTTTCTCTTAGTTAAATCTTTCTTACATTAACATCATAAAACGGCTCTAATGGCCTACTTGAGAACAGACTTGACTTGACTAGGATTTATGAGTGTAAAGTTGAGATAAAAATTACCCTTCCCAAGCCAACACCAACAGATAACACAGCAATACAAATAGTTTTGCTCCACAGCAGTAGTCAATAATCTAGATTCTGATCTCCCTTGTATCAGCAATAATCTGATGCACTGAAGAAAACAAAGTCACTTCTAAGTTTCCATCCAGAATAAATTCTGTCCCACTCTCTTCAGCCAATTGGTGAATTTGTTTAAGCAGCCTGTACTGAAGAGGCAGGACAATCCTCATCCTAAAACAAAGGCCAGCAAAACCAGGAGTCCTTCCACTGATTTCCATGGCCTTTGGATGAGGTCCTAAAACAGAGAAATCAGAACACCAGAAGGGATTACGTCCTAATTAGAATGATCTCATTGACACTCAGACAAACCTTCATTGTTCAACAGGAATAGTATCAATCTAAGTCTGTCTAATAATTTCTGACCACTGCCATCTTGGATATTATTCGACAATCAACTAGACATCACTTAACATACACTACGTGACAGACAAATAGGAATCTAATAACTTTCTTTAAACCCTGTATTACTGCCACTTGAAACACTTTCAAATGCAAAATCTCACTGCAATTACACTCTTCTCTAATCAGTATATTCTTTTAAGTTCAAACTGCGTACTCTTGCAGAAAGTATTAAGAAAGAAATGCTGTTCAAGGAACCATGCCAGGCTTTTAGAACAATGAAATCTTTTCCACACAGCTCACGGAGACCTATTAAAACAGACACAAACCCCATCTCTGGCTGTTCTCACAAGCACTAGAACATAAAGCCCTCAATTTTGGGGTTATCATGCAAGGAAGCGGTCCTGGAGCGACCAGCCTTAAGCAGCAAAGGGGAAACACCATTGTAGATACAACTCACTGTCTTCTAAGACTGCAAAGATGCTTTTCAGCTCTGATACACGGATGGCTATTGCAACTGATAGAGGATTGAAAAGCTAAGTATTTGTACTGTAACACAGTTTTGGAAGAAAACCAGATGTCTTCCATGTTGGCTTTAGAGAATCTGCAGTAATTTGTGAACTGATATTTGCACAAAGAAGGAATACATGAAAACAAATGCAGACGCAGAGTGAATAAAGCAAGCTGAAGGGGTATGTTGGGGATATGCCTTCTTATATAGATCAGAACTTTTATGTATGTGATGATACATTCAGGTATTTAACATCGAACATTTGGAAAGGTGCCCCGTGGTTAAGGCTCCTCTGAGATTTTCCCTTGAAATATTTTCATTTTGAATGTCACTTATTGGCTTCAAGCTCATCTCTATTGCAGAATTACTAGTCAGAGGACAAATGGATTCTCCTGTGAGCCTCTGGAGAGGGTGATAAACCTTCATAGAAAACTATTCAATCATTGATTTTCAAATGCCATGCAGGGAGTCCACCTTTCTGCCACTCTCCAGTTAAACGTATTTATTCTCAATGCTCTTATGGGTCAGGAAATTTCCTCAGGAAACATCAACGGTAAAAACTGGTCCTATTGGTTTAGTGTCTAATGAAGACTACTAAGAATGGTCCCATGAAAGTGGACATTTGGAGAAAATCAGGCTTACTCAATAGGAAATGAAAAGCAATCAAATGTCAAACTCTGAAGCGGGAAGATGTTAAAGCTATGGAGTTAAAAAAGAAACCTCCCAAAACAGAACAAAAATACATACCAACCTTTCTTCAGTCTGGTTCCATTTAGTCCTCAGCTATGACACATTTTTCTGTGTATCATATTAACTTGAGAGTCAGCCCTAAGTTATTTTTATACCCACAAAAATATATCCCCCAAATGATAATGCCCTGAATGAGTAATATTTCAGTAATACTTTGCCATCGATGAAGGACAGCTCTAGCACTGTTATACCCCAGAAGATGGTAGCCAGACATTTCCTTTGTAAATTACCAGATAGCTCATGGAAAGTGAGCAGGCGTGATAAATGAGCTGTAGTTTTCTAGACTGTGCTTTTTAACAGATGTATTTACACATTTCACAATCTACCGGTAGGGATGGTGCATGTTACTGCCAAATGTTAGATGAAATGTTATCAAACAGAAGTCTCCCAACAAATTCCCATCATGTTGACTATTAAGATCAGCCCACCATGTGTAATTTTTCATGTTATGTCCTTGATCAAGATTTTTTTAAACTATTGTTACTATTTTAATTATCCTTTTCTTACTCACCAATACATAAAAAGTACATGTTTACATGAACAAAGAAATCATAGAATGCCTATGTAGAGACTTGTGCCACTTAAATTTTTAAAATACTTCGTAAGCTTATTTAATAATTAAATAAATTTAAAAAAACAACATCAAAAACCTAAATGTGATGCCATTTCTATTTGACACTGCTCTTTAAAGGGCTCTCCCTTTGAGACAATAGCAGAGGCTTTTGTCTGGCCTGAGCCAGCTGCTCTTTATCACAACACCATCCGATTGCCCTTAGGCAGTTTGATGGTGAGAGCTCGCCGCTCCCAGGCCACGGGCTGGCAAACCCCCCAGGTGGTAGGAGTTGCTACCAGTGGCAGTGTGGCCTCAGGCAGACATCTTGGAGAAACAGAAGGAGATTCCTGGGGAAGCTGCCATTCCTCTCTGTTTAGCTGGAGAGGAACAAATGGAGCCCATATCATGCTGGACCGTTTGCATCTGCTGTACCACATAAAGCAGTGTGTTGGGGTACGCTGGGGCGGACATAGCGATACCATGAAGAGACAGGTAGTTCCCACATGAGCGCAGCCTACGGCAGTACGCGCCTTGTCATATAACCCGGCCCAGGCAGGCACAGGCCCCAGCAAACAGGCGATACAGCCCGCTCCAAGAACGGTCATAGGCTGCGGAGTCCCACCACCCAACTCAGGACATCTTACCTGTGCCCATGACCATGGTGGTGCTGTAATGCCACTTGAATAACAAACAACATGCTGGCCTCAAAACCCTGGCCACAGGGCATTCAAAATCTTAATAAAATACAATATTATTAATGTATGAAGTCTGGTGGTTACTACTTCCTCACGGATGTGCGGTAATACCAGCGAATGTGTTCAGACACAGACAGAATTTTGTCACGGCACCTTCTGAATAGCAACCGTACAACGATACAACCACAACCCACATTCGGCAGAGCTCTTACAGATCATGCATCTTAAAGTGATGCGTCAGGCTCAGCGCACTTCACAAACATATACAACACAAATGATTAACATTCGTGTGGCAGTGCTACTATAATCATGCTGTTTCTTTATATGTTAATGTCTGTTCACACCTCCAAAAATACTTACGTTCATTTATCAGCATCCTAAGTATAAAGGTCTCAGAAACAGCGCTTCGGTCAAGGGGCTTATAATTGCCCAGGCTATGATCAGGTTAGTTTCTTTACATGTCTTTAAGGAGAGCTGAGCAATTAGAAGGAAAAAAGAACGAAAACCCCCACACTCCGCAAGGGTAACTTACACTAAAAGTGGTTTCTGATTTGACTGCCTGGGATACATTTTCAGTAACTTCCTGAAAACCTCCAAGCTTCCAAGGTTTGCTAGCACAAACGTAACACAAACTAAAGCTTCTGTATTAAAATCTATTCCGAGGAAAAGATCTAACTTTTTTTCAATTATAATGTCTGCATTTCATGCCGCGCTCGTTAGTCACGTTTCATGCACTTAGGAAACAGAAACCATTTTCTAAGATTGAAAAACCGCATTTATTATTACTATTTTCAAGAACTTTGCACAGAGCACTTGAAACTCCAGAAATATTTATTACAGAAATGTGTGGATAGCTCTGGCTCATTAAGTTTCTGAATAGCAGGGGCTTTGCTAACAACTTGTGCACAAACTAAAAAGCAGACTACGTTAATAATCAGAAAACATATTTAAATCTCATTTTAGATCTAAAAGTGCATATATTTCAGAAATTTCAAAGTGGGGAAAGAAATTTTGCTCCTACCTCTTCCAAAGCCCATAATGAATCAACCACAGGCTTGATCTTCTTATTGTTATATAGATTTAGGAGTTTGTCCATCACACCCTTGATCAGGCCACCTCGATTCTGCTTGAAAAGTAGATTCAACAGGGAAAATCCAGCAATGACTTTGTTCTCCTCATACAGCTTGATAGGATTTACTTTCTCAACCTGCCACCACTGGAAAGCAATAAACAACAGCAGCGTTAGAAAAACATTTTTCAAGAAATGTACAGGAAAGTTCACAAGAAAGCTGTCTGGGCAGATGTGATACATGACTCATCTGTCAGATCTGAAGCAACAGCCAAGAGAGGCAGTAAGGACTTTATTTAAAGAAGAGGCAAAAAAGCATGCAGCTGACTGACACGCGGAAATAAAACACAGACTTGTGTTGCATGAGATTAGGGTGTTAGAAGAATGGTGAAGAGATCTGGTTTTAGGATGTGGGTCTAGAAGTAAGGAATTTGGACCTCCCTTCTTACTTCCGCTGTCCTCCTTCGTTATCTCAAGAGAGCCATGCAAGCTTCCCAAACGTTCGCAAGCAACTCTTGACTATTACTCTTCTCTCGAAAACAAGTCAACCATGCACTGCCTACCAGCTTCCACTTACTTTTCGCCCCATTATTATGTTTGTGATATTTGAGCAAGCCTCATAATATCTAATGAAATTATTTTATCTCATTTAGCCCAAGAGCATCCTTGAGACTGCGATCCCGCTTCCTAGCAAGTTTTATTTGAATGGGTCAATTTTTAATTAAAATTTTCATACAATTTTGATGAGTTAATTTTGCAGTATAATTACATAAAGAAACTAGTCATACTTTTATACAAAATTTGATACGCTATTTTTTATTAATTCAATGTATTCATATTTATTCAGTCAATAAATACCAGTACTATCTGAAGAACATTTCAGTTGAAATTGGTTTCATTGGTCCAACCTACCCTACAAGTTATACACATCTGGATAGGTTTATATTAACAGTAAAAAGGCTGCATAGTAAAGACTAGCTTGTTTTAGTTCACAAACGCACGACAATAACAAAGATCGTGCCACTACAACCATTAAGAAAATGTAGGAGGCAAAGACCAGCTTCTTGCTACAGTCTTTGATTTATCTTGTTTTCAACTACATAGAGACTTTTGAAGCTAAATTTCTCCTGGGAAGGGGTTGTTGCTGGAAGCTGTAAATGAGCTCTTGGCAGAAAGATCATATGATAGATCTTCAGTCAAGACTTCTCCCTCTGTTCCTCTTGTCTGAAGGAATCGCTTTCACTCCTGGTTAACTTATTTCTTGCTAGCAGTTTATTTGATATATTTGTCCCTTTTTCGATCTCTAGGATTTCTGAGCAGATTTTTGTTGTACTAAGCTGAAGAAAAAAAATTTAACATTCGAATTTCAGATTTGTTGACGTCATCAATTAGCAAACAAATGCAACATCATCACTTTGACGTCACTTGAAATGAACACAGAGAATTGAAAAACGCATTTCTGTATGGAACTGATTTCTGAAAAAGCTGGAAATGACTGGACACAAGCCCCATCTTAAGATGCATCTCCTTTAATATCTCCTTTAATTCACTGCACTGTCCTGACAGTGTTTTCAGAGATGAGGAAGCTACAGGGTACAGTTATCCATATCCATGGATATGATATTCTGCCATAAGTAAATACATAATGCAGTCTAACTTTAATCTTAGCTGTGTAAGAGATATATGTCTGATAGCTAACAATTTAAATATGCATTGCACACAGATCCAATTCCCGTCTAGCTGTCATATCAGAAGAAAACATATCAGACCAGGTTGCAGTCAGAAAAACGTTCTCTTTAGCAACAGCAGAACTAACAACTTAGTAGAGATAAGTGAGAATGATAAAGATGAAAATACTACAGAAAAGACTGAAGTTTGAGGAAAGAGCAGAATCACAGCACTGGGACACTTACTGATTTTGCAAAACTGAAGAAGCTTTTTGTCTCCCCAGTAACCATGTTAGATGAACCTGTAAAAGATGAGTACATTCACACACACCTTATTACACGCTAACAAGCAGATCATTTATTATACGTAATATCATTTCCATATTTCATATCTAAGGAAAAAAAATAATTTCCCCAGGTTTAATAGGGATTAGTAGACATCCTTATACTCTGGGAATAAATAACGAAGAGGCCAATGTGACCAAGCCCTATAAGTTTATATGACAAACTGTATCAAATCTTCCAAAACCAGGAACACGTTAAGTGCTACTAGGCATCTTGACACCAAAACTCTTCTATAGCTCTCTCCTTCCCTGCAGTAAAATGCCATTTGTCTCTGACACACTATTATTTAGCAGCGATCACCACACAGGTGCCCTTTCTCTGTACCTGTGAAGATACATTTATCTGACCACTACGTGTGTGAACATGCATTGTACACTACGACCTGTTCACAAACATAGTGACAATTTGCTGGCAAGGACTTCATTACAAACAGGCAACCAGGTTGGCTTGTACAGTCCAAGCAGATATCCAGGTGACAAGGCGTTCGTTATTGCCACCCTGCTCGCTAGATGAAAGCCCAAGGAAGCAGGTATGCTTATCCACGATGCCACTGCACCTTCCCCTGCGATACAGATATATTCTGCATTTCAAAAGTTCAGCAATCCCTTCAGCTGTCCTCCTACAGAAGCTTGTCCTGCTTTCTCAACACACAACATGGCAACCTGGCAGAACTGTGGGACAGACATGTTTACTCAGTATGTGGAGCAGTCCATGTACACAAATGGAAATTTGTGAACAGAAGCCTGGGCTTGAATTCCTCAAAGTCATGTGGAATAAAAACGATAGCATTCTTCCCAAAATCTTCCTCCAAGCTTCCCTCCCACAAGAACTACAGTACAGTTTCCTTGGCCACGCTGCCATTCCTACGGTGTGTAGAATAAGAGATCCAAGCTTTCTCCTACACTTCTCCTGTATCACCCAATAATGTTTAACAGTCTGAAACATATGTTCAGCTTCACTTTTGGAATTTTTTTTTTTTTTTAAGAGTTTCTTCGTATTACCTATTGTTTCTCAATAATTTAGTCCACACTCAGCTTCACTAAAATCCTTGATTGGAAATGGTCAAATTGAGAAAGTATAACATGGCGGTCTCCAGTTCTGAAGGAGTGGCATGGGTGATTTTAAGAGATTTTAAGCTTTGCAAAGCTCTAGTTTTGAAATATGTACTTGGCTTTTTCCACTCACCATATAAAATGTAAGTCCCAAGTGGTTTGAGAAGACTGAGGCCTTTCCCAGTATTTTCTCCACAAAGACAGTCCAAAACAATATCTACTCCATCCGTCGAGATTCTAAAAAGCAAGAAAGAAATCTGACTTTGCAATAAGATCCACAGGACTGGTCAGCCAGCATGATACAGGCTGACTGTTAACATAATACTGCTGACTGTTAACATAATACTAACATTTTCCAGGTAGTTTAGAAAGGACTCTAAGGCTGAGGCTTTGACTACGTGAAAACTTTCTCCTCATCAAAAGACAATTCAAACTCATTCAGAGCTGGAACGCGAGTTTGCTGGGCTAGCCAACCCACGTCTTTCAGGCTTAGAAGAGTGGGAAACCGTCCTGTTCCCCCTTTTTGATGGCTTTCAGTATAAATTATAAATCAGTAAATTATATTATCAAAAAACAGGTGATTGATATAAAGTTCTTTTTGAGTGAATGCAAATGTCAGAGAATGTCTTTTTTTTTGGGTCAACGAATGTCATAGAGAAAAAGGACGTTTTTGTTATTCACATCTTCGTAGATTCTTTTTTTGAATTCATAAGGAAACATCATCTTATCCTAGTTCCTCTCAGATAAAATGATGTCCTTGTAAAGGTATTTAAAGTCTTGTTTCAGACTTTGTATCAACTAGATGTCAGCAAAGAGTTAAATCAAGCACAAAGAGAAGTCACCAAGAGCTAGAAACCCAGCTCTAAGGATACAATCAGGCCATACTATAGAAAGCAGATATTATTTATTCTGTTTCAATAAGTAGCTTGCATATTTATAATATTCCAACAAATAGCTTTGTGAATGCAACGTCAATATGATGCTGAAGAAGAAAAAAATACACCCAAATATCCAGATTTAGTTGTTCTTTTCTGGCAAAACACCAGCCTGCAAAATCTTATCACTAGTTCGATCTAAGTCTAATATCCTACCTCCTAACCAAGTAAACAGCCCAAGCAATAGTTCTTGATTAATACTCTTAAACAATTACGCAAATGACTGGTGCAGACACTACAAGAAAATTGCAGGCTGGAGACTATCAAAGGTTTAAGGGGCAGTCAATAGCATCTAATCCCCAGGAACATCAATTAGCTCCTCATGACCATGCCTTCTGCAGTGGTATCACTGCAATTAGAAGTCAGGAAAGAGGTAAAGCTTTATGGCTTGTAATGCATCTTCCTGTTTCCTCACAAAACAAAGGTGATACTCAGACATCCACTGGTTACAGAGAGCAACAAAATCAGACAGCTTTACTCTTTGGTACTGCTGCCGTATGTGGGGTAATAAATTGTTTATATTCAGGCCACTGGATGATGAGCTTTCACTGTAAATGAATAATGACTTGCAAAAGCCTTTCAAACAGCTTTCAGTGGCTTCCACAGCTGAACCAATTCCTCATCCTCTAGGAACATTTCCACATTCGTATCACCTCTGGGGTTTTCTTTGTTTGTTCCTGTGTGTGGTTGTTTTGCTTTTTTTTTTGTTTTGTTTGGTTTGGTTTGTTTTTTTTGGTTTTTTTTTTGACTTTGCTTCCTGATGAAAGCTCTTCCCTGGAATACTCCAGTCACCTGCAATAAAGCAGGTTCCTACCGCTATCCTTTCTCAACCACAGACCTACCCCTTCCTGCTCACAAACCCTCCACAAATGCAGAGCCTTCCCCTTGCCCTAGGGCTCCCCCTGAGCCAGCGTGCGGCAGGCAAATGCAGACTAGCTGCCTTCCCTGCTGGCCAGCCAAACATTTTAAGCAGAACATAATATACAGCTAATATCCAGCAAACCAAACAACTGCACTGCTCCCCCACTGCCTCTTTCAAAGGACAATTTGTCTTTATAGCAATCTCAGAATTACCACTGTATTTTTTTTTCCATTTTTTTTTTCAATGCAAAGTGAAAACAGACAGATCTGAGCAACAAATCAGAGTATTGGCATATTCTACAGGGTGCCAATTCTGACTTTTAATCAGGACTATCAATTGTGCTAATACTACGCACCTCTGTACCAGGGAAGAAGCACGAACTAGCTTGTTGCATCTACCTTTTAGCTATTGTACCCACTGGCTCTCTGCCTCATCGGTCTATTGCGAGGTGAAAAAGTAGGTGAAAATTCAGGGTCACCAAAAGGGATTTTAACAGACTTAAAGAGCAGAATTCCACCCCTTTGTAACCAGGCCTTTTGATTTCAGTAGTTACAGCCTGTTACAGAGTCACGGGTGGTGTCAGGGAACTGTCCCAAGAAGAACTGTCCTGATGAAGGCCAGAAGCAGCCAATGTCATCTGTGATCATAAAGTTATCAGAAGTTAACAGGGCTTTATTCCTTTTTTTTTAAGCACTGATTTCTGTTGTATCTGCTCCCACATCACATACCCACTTAGATCAGGGATCTGCTGCGGCCCTTGCCAACAGTTAGCACTAAGGTTGGTGCTGAACTCTGATTAATGTTTTCAAGCGTTCTTTCTTGCTGAATCCATGTTTGTAAAGTGGGGATTGCTAGAATTCAGTCTTCATCTCACTACAGCAATTTTCCAGAGGCAGCAAAACATTTCGGTACGTATACTTCCCCAAGAGAAAGCCTATCAAAGGGCTGAAGAAATGTGCTGCAATTCTTCTGAGCTGAAAATGGTAGGAGTGTCATCTGCTGGACAAGTCCTATCTTTTTTGGTGAAACTTCCCATACAGAAAAAATTTTCCTTTGATATAAAATGTCCTTTGTGATGGATCGTTTCAAATGTTCTCTTAAGCCCTTGGGAGTGCTCCAGAAACAGCAGCAAGACACCCTGGCTTCTCTTCCAACACCAGTCTGGATTGTTAACGGCTCAGAGAAGAGTCTGCCATACACTGAAGGGCCCCTTTGAGGGCAGGTAACCCTCGTCCGGGGAAACCTGCTGAGACTTTGCACGTCGCTCTGAGGAATGCAGAAGTTTGACGGGAAGCCTGTCAACTGTACTACCTTGGGGTGCCCCTTCCAGAAATTTCTTGGTTTATGCTCAGCTACATAATCTAGTATTTTAACAGATACAAGATGAAGGGAAAATATTATTCTTATCTGACAAGTAAAATCAGAAAGATTTTACTACGATTTTCTTATAAATTCTAAAGTTTTGCCACCCATATCGACATCAATATCTAAAAAGTTAGACAAATTGGAAAACAAAGTACTTGAAAGCATGTAAACAGAAACACACATGATGACTTCAAAAGGCAACAGGATGATTCTAATCAGAATGCAAACAAATAAAATCTAAGGATCTGAAATTAAAACAGACATCATGTGCTCCGATATCAATCCCTGGCAGAGGATAAAAACCCAGGCAGATAGAAACACACCAGAGAACTCCAAAACCTGGGTAACTCAGAGATCCACTGAAAATATCTTACTCAGTGCATTACAGTGAGCTACCACATACACAGACAATAGCAAAGTACAGCCTTCTGTTAAGACCTTTATCCTTTTTCACTTCACTTACTTTGCTTGCAACAGATGTCCAAGTATGAACATGGACTAACAAAGCTTATGATAGCTTATAAAGAAATACAGAGAGACGCTTGCTATCTTGTCGCTTGTAGTAGACAGATGGAATATCTGGAATAAACTACAGTTCCCAAGCTCACACATGTAATCTCTTCCCATAAACATGATGAGCCCAGTGTCTTTCATAGTATTTTGCCAGACAATATACAACCCTTACTCAGAAAAATAAAAGATTACCTTTTTACTTCTTGAACATAGTCTGCATTTCTGTCAAACAGGTGAGTTACCGAGTCTTTGATTGCTTCATGTTTGAAAGATGAAGCTGTTCCAAAAACAGTAACATTGGGAATGGTTGAACAGAGCTGAGCCACAGCTTGACCCTGCAAGCACATTATTATGTTAGTTCACTGACATGGAAATTGGTTGACAGACTTTGCAGCTGCCAACTCACTCATGACACAGAAAAATCCAAGACCAAACATGTACAAGGACTTCCCAAACTAATTTCTTGCCAGTGCAATGCAGTTCTGCCACAGGAAAAAAAATACGTTTAAATCAAAAGGATATTCTGAAGACAAAGCAACTGCAGGGATAAAAGTAATTTAATGTATCGAAAATTGGATTGGAAAAGAGTTGTTCTTGATCTTTTAACAAAGGCAGTGTAATTTAAGGGAAACAGCACTAATTTACAAGGAACACCAACAATGACTGCTCAAAGCACGCTAGAGAAATATTTCTCATTTGCTGCATGCATCGTACGTGCATTTCCCCCAGAGCCCCTGAGTAACGTCAGCAGTCCTCTTTGCACTTCGTCCCTCCCAACAGTGCTGACTGCTCCTGCCCATGATTCAGATCCTCTCTGCTCACAGAGAAGGCCTCGCAGCACCTGATGCCCAAACAGAATTTCTGGCAGATAACGTAAAAGTACTTGGCTCCTCTAGTACTCAGATACAGCTTTTATACTTCAGGTTTTTGCAGTCCTAATACAGAAGGTCTGGTGTAGTCAGTCCCGGGACAGCATGCAGTCTACCACTCCCAAGCAACCACTTCTTCTTATGGTTTCAGTGGGAGACAGCAAATTGGTATAAGAAACACTGCATAGTAAAGGAAATTTGGTTTACCTCTTATTAATAACAATTATTACTGATTATTCAAAATGCAGGAATAGCCTTGAGTCACACTAACAGGCCTGCTTAGGCCAGTGCCCCAACCTCAAAACTGATCAACAGCAAAGGGGATAAAATGGCCTAGAACACGTACAGGAAAATCGTTCTCCTAGTATATCCCCCCTGCATCTGGGCAGCAATCCAGTGGAGTCAATCAGATGCTATGTCAGTGTTTAGGCAGGAGTTGGGGCATTGGAGAATTTGTGCTTTGACTTTCCAGCTTCAGGCCTGAGAAGGCTTTAACTTCTCTAAGTTTTAACTTCAGTTTCATGAGGCTGAGAGAAGGGAAGCACTGCATAAATGCTGAGCCATCTAGATTTCAAAAAAGATCCTAACAGGTCATCTTCTCACAACCCTGGGTTTTGTTCTACTCCTAACACACCAACAAATGGAAGACAGACTTCTGGTAGCCACATCTTGCCTCTTGCTGTAACCACATTATTCCACTGGAGCTAACACGGTTACACGGATATGCCCAGAAGCAAGAAACGGCACTGCCATTCTAAAAATACTGTCTGACGGAATTCAGCAGATTCTTACTTATATTTACAGCCAAAAGATTGTCACCTGTATGCATGAGCAGTAAAATCATCTATGGATAAACACATTCCTGTTCATTCCAACCAGAAACCCTGATTATTAGTATGTAAACACCAATAATCAGTGCTCGGGTTTTGTTTACAGTAGAGTAATTAGGTAACCCTGCATACCCTGGGGGTCTTGGCGTCCTCATAGAACGCTGAATGTAATTGCTAGGGACAATCCTCTGAGCTTAACATCGCAAGAGAGGACACTATTATTACTTATACATGGTGGCATCCAGGAGTTTCAGATTGGTTTCCTACTGGATTAGTCAGTAAACAGCTACACAGCAAGGCACAGTTTCTGTGATCCTTCGGACAGGTACCAATAGAGATAGAGAAGAGAGCAGGAGAAGGGATGCATTCTCATTCCTACTTTACAGATGAGAAACAGAATAGCACAGCAAATTGCACAACCTGTCCAACAGTTCAGAGAAACTCATAGCAGGACCCAGGTATGAATGCTGATTCGTAGCATGGTAATCCAGTATCAAACATAAATGACCTTTTCTTTTTAAAATCATCCACCATTTTCCTGGGTTGGAATCCTTAATCTCTTAGAAATCATAGGAAAATCCATTCCTGAGGGGCATGATCTCACAAGATATAATCTCTTTGGGGAGCAGAAAGCATTTTACTCTTCTCATACTTCATTTCTCTATTACTTACTGTCTCATTCTGAAGCCCAGGTTTTAGCCTCCACAAATATTGTAACATAAAATTACAAGAAAAAAAGTTAATCTGGATTTTGTATCTCTCCTTTTCTTAATCATTTTCACCAGCAATCCTCTCTTCTTACTTTCTGTGTCTCCCAGAAAACCATCATCCATAGTGATTTAGCTAAGTCAGTATTTTATAGTGTATGCCAGTTGAGTGAAATTCTGACATTATTGATCTATTCCCTAGTTCTATGCATTTTCAATCTAACTTGGGAAGACTAGGGATAATGAGCATTTCCTGAATCAAAACCACTGAATGTTTAAAAGGTCAAATATTAGAGCAGAAAACATGTTGATTTTTATCCTGCAGAAGATGATTAACATTTAACAAACTGACAGTCAGATGAATAGAAGAAATGCACAAAAAAACCCCAGGATATGCATAACCTATTTTCCTCCTGACTCAAACTCATTAATACACCCCTCCCTTCCCCCATAGAGATAAGCTTATCTAAAACCCCAGATCAGAATACTTTTCGGCTTTCTGGAGGTATTTAAAGCCTAAAATTGACTCATATGACCAGTACTTTTATAATTGGATGAACAACACTGAAGTATTTTGAGGCAATACTACAAAACATTCTTCTGCAGCTTTCTGAAGATCTTAATTTGATGTTGACTCTTACTTATTTTTGTGCAAAGTATTCTTAGTATTCGTATTTCAGAAATTTTGGAATAAAGGCTGATACTGGACCTTTCATGCTTTTCCCACCAAAATAGGAGAACTGAACTCAAACATTTCACTAATTTCTGTGGAATTCGACCAAGCTCCAAAACAGCACTGTGGCTATGCAAGTCACTCTTAAGTCTCTTTTCTAATCCCTCAAGTCATCTAGCTACCTCTGGATTAGTAGCTAGTGTTTAGAGGGATATACGTTTTAATTGCAAGTACGTGAGGCCTCAGTGTTCAGAACGTCTGTAGTTCACAAACGAAGCATGCACAAAGGGTTTTGCGGCTGGAAGGAAGAGCATCCTCCTCTCAGGGCCGTGGAGGGGCAGCGAGGTATCCACGCGGCTCCTGTCCCCCGCACACTCTCACCGGGAGGCACCCTTCGATCACGGGGGCACACGAGCCCTGCCCCGTCTTTTGGATTCCAAAGCCATTCGCCTCCTGAAAACTGCTTTGTGGCAGGCAGAGACAAGAGGGCTTTCTGTCTCCTCCCTGCCCAGACAAAACCACATCATCTCTGCTACCAGCTTTCACTGGGGAGACCACATGGGTAGGGAAGCAGGCACCACGTTATCAGAAATAGTGTATGAACTTTAAAACCTTCTGAGAGGGTGTCTGACTAGATAAGCATGATTTGAAAAGCGAAAATAAAACTCTCCACACATCTAATTTTTCACATACGATGCAAATCTCTACATATAAGTACAGACGAGATTCTTGCTACCTGAACCTAGGAAAATTAATAAGTGGCAAAAAATAATTCTCACTTGGACAATTAATTTTACCTTTAACAGGATTTATCAGTCTTTGAAAAAACTGATCAATTGCTTCACGGAAGGGATAGACATGGTTAGAAAACATTCCCTTAAAATGGAATTAAATCTCCTTTAAGATATATATGTATTTTATATACTACTTGTTGTGCAGAACTCCACACAGTGAGTCCTCAAAGAAATTAATAACCTGGATTAAAGCATTCTGTGGAAATGAAGCATGTCTCCTAATACTGGATTTGGCATAGGAGTCTTGTGTTTCTTTAGCTTCAAAGTCTGTTAGATGGATTCCTTTTCAAGGCATCCTGACAATTTGTAAAACCAGTATGTTGAACCTAATCTACACATATGATTATTACCAAATTTATTATAAATGGATATGCTTGTAGTGGTTTTAGATCCGCTAAAAAGATTGAGATTTCTTTACATTCCTCTGCTTTAAAACCCAACTTTAAACCTGCAGGACTGGCAACTTCTCCTACTGAGATAATCACAGAACAGAACAGAAAAGTAGATTTTTAGGAAGTAAAAATGAAATAGACTGTTCTGTGTATTTAAACAATTTCAAAGTAAAAAAAAAAAAAGTCATTGACATTTGAAAGTCAATATAGAAAGCGTGAACAGAAGAAAACTTACTAATCTAATTAGCTTATTAATACTAACTTAACACTGGGTGAAATATAAATAAGGCGTATAAGTCAGTGGATTTCTGAAAGGGTCTGACCTAATGGCACAAGCCAGACCTCGGTCTGATGGGTATACTTTCATGGAAGTATCTTTTTTGCTATTACGTAAACTGAGCCCAGCTTTATAGCAGGGGAGAACAAACCATCTGGGAGATACCACCCCACGAAATTGCATCTATTGGAACCAACAGCATCAGTAAGAAATTATCATTTCTAGGACATGATTTGCAGCCCAAAGGTACTACAGCAGTTTAAAAAAAAAAAATCATTCAGACTTCACCTTGCACAAGAAACCTGTCTGGAACCAAACGTGAGGAGAATCCACATTTCCAACATGCTTTGATGCCACATAACCGTATCTGAAGGTGGTACGAAGTACACAAACATAGTAAGAAAATGGCTAGAGAAGACATCTACTAATCTCCTGGCATCAAGGAAGACTTTTCTCTGGTGTTCGAAGTCAGATACACAATGCCACCTCCTGAAGGTGTAGTTTTTCAATTACAACAGAGGAAATTGGAAACCAAACACTAAGGTGAACATTGCAGCGTGGACAAACTACAGCGTGATTCTTGAACAAGCACAAGGCAGCATCTGCTACGCTCAGTGCACCACAAATAAGTTTTGGAGTAGAGGGAGGGGACGGAAGAGTCACCATGAGATAATGATCTCTTTTACCCTCAAAATCTCTTATTTTCTGTGACAATTAGCAGAGCGTGGTTTTTCCTACCCCCTTACAAAACTGCGCAGCTGAGGTGCATCCAAAACTCAGGGCTAAATCTCCA